TATTCTATTCTATTCTATTCTATTCTATTCTATTCTATTCTATTCTATTCTATTCTATTCTATCAGGATCAAATTATCAGTGCTAGAACTTTGAAATGATTGCAAAAAACTGCATGGATTCACATGATAAACTGAAAATAGGACATTGCAGTTAAAGGCTGCATTGACGGATTTAGTCGTGACACTAACAGTAACCCAAATGTAATCAGACTAGTTCATAAACACACAAACACACATTGAAGCTGTCCACAGCAGGTCAGAGCTGAGCCTGGAAAAGAATTTGGATGTTCTGTAAGATCATGCCATTTTTCTTGAAAATTGTGCCTTTTTGCTCGTAATATTAGACTTTAATCTCATAATATTTAGAATTTTTTCTTGTAATAGGCCCAATATAAATTAATTCTCATAATAAAATGACTTTAATCTCATAATATTATGAATTTATTCACGTAATAAAAAAAAACAAAAATAAATACAAACCTGTGGCCCTAATACTCCATTGAACTGATTGAAAAAAGAATGACAAAAAATAAATAAATAAAATAAGCTTCTTACAAAACATTTCTATCTGTTCTTTAAGTTGGATTAATTCATTCATTTGTAAATAGTTTGTAGATTGGCATAAACTTTCAGTGGACCCTTATTTKCCAGGATTATTAAGGTCAGTTTAAAGAAAACCAGTTTGTGGTATTTGATTTAAACACTTGGGATTAACAGGCTGCAGTAGCTTCATGCTCAGAGCTGCAGTCTTCCCATCCTGATGCTGCAGGTTCAAGCTCAGGTGTCCAGAAGGGTATCCGACATAAATCCAATCTTCCCGTGCAACTTCACTCCCTGTGGTGACCCCCGCAGAGGGGACCAGCCTAAAGAACAGCAGCTTTCTCAGTATGATTAATGTGGCATGGCCTATGCCAGTCACTTACAGTTGGCTACCTCCACACAGTTATGTTGGATCAACAGCAAAAAAAAAAAAAAAAAGATTTGACTTTATGCCTGTTTATATCCAAAACATTGGAAAAAAACTAGTTCATTCATCTGTGCTGTTTATCGTATCCTCCTGCTGGTTTTATGTCTTCCACTCAAAGAAAAAAATCTTTACTAAAAGTTTTACTTGGTTTGTGTGACATAACTCAAGCAAGGAGAATTTTCTAGAATAAAGTGGAACCATTCAATTCAATTCAATTGAAAAATACTTTTTTGATCCCAGAGGGAAATTAGGTATTCCAGACTCAAGGCCAATATTATGTGCCCTTTGTAAAAGTGAACCCAACCTTTTTAGTAATGCAACAATAGTTAAAATAGAAAGAATAAGTTTTGCTCGGTTACCGCAGTTCCTCTTTAATTCTTTGCTGTTTTTGCTCTTCCCGTTAGGGAGCTTGTTGTGTGTTGTGCAGCGGGTATGACCACGTAYCGCCTTTTAGCGTCTCTGCACACATACCTGAACTTGTTTTTCTTGGTGTGTAAAAATGTAAGTTACATCTACCGGGAGCACGACCGGCCTCAGAGGAGCACATTTTACAAATATTTTCCAAAACAAGTTTCTGCTCAAACTGCTTGTTTCTGACAAACATTTGTAATACGACGACTAGATCTTATTTATTTATTTATTTATTTATTTATTTATTTATTTATTTATTTATTTATTTATTTATTTATTTATTTATTTTTGTTTGTTTGTTTGTTTAAAAGATGAACAAGAAAAAATATGAGGGTTTTAAAGATTTGATCCTGGTAAGATTAAGTTTGATATTAGAAAGAATT